CATAATGAACCAGAGCCGTTTGCTAAAGAGAAGCTCCATTTGCTGTGCCAGTGACTTGAAACTATGCTTCAATAAACATAGCTCAACCTGCAGTTTGAGTACAGTGTAAATCAAGAAATGGTAATTTATGACAATACGATTACGGACCAAGATAAAGTCATTAACAGGATTGCAATGGTTTGTTAGTTAGTATTACAGGTAATCTGAAAATACACCCATTTCTCTACCTATAAATTTGCCTTCATATACATGTATGACTCACCTAGTTTCATTTCCCTTCTACTAATATTATTGTTAATCACCTGGCCCAAGTTGTTCAAAAGGTAGATAGCCCTATCCACAATACAAATCTCAATCCAGTGGTTCGTGCAATTGGTTTCCCTAACATTTATCCAGTGGATAGTGATTTATCCGATGGATAGCTCTATTCAGATTTTGAAAAACTGGGGCCTGGAGTTTACATACCCCTTCAGTTTTGATTACGAGGTATATACGGTTAAATCCAAAACTTCTTCTTCCACTGCATTTTACATCGTTAGTATGCAATGCAATTTCAAAAGGTTGGTTAGAGATTGTAGAGTGCTCAACCACTTATTTTTCATATCACTGAATTTCCCTGCTAGCAAGAACCTTGAATAAGAATGGCATCAAAAAAACAGCAGACATTTTGAGATGCCACCACCAATTTCCCTGCTCAACGACCTCTGAGGAATGAGCAGAAATACTCTATACTGATGACATATCACTACCAAGAACTGGTTAGTGCTTCTGATTGGATGTACCATGAGAGAAATTTGCCTCAGCCATTTAGAAACACTACCCAGATCTGGGTAGTTAAGATACTGACCAGTCACAAGTATGGAATTTTTGTGCTAACATTTCTCAGACATCATTTTGTGGGAAAACCAGTAGTCTCATCACAAAATTTTGGATATTTTCTCAGGCTACATAAGAATGCATCCTTTTGCTTTTCTATGCTTAGTCCTACAAGGCTTTGAGTGATATGTGGATACGTAGTAGCTCACTGGGTATTCCAAATTGGGACCACCTTTAAGCTGTATCCATGAAACAGCTGGATTAACGTGGCACTTAAAGGTGAGAGACTGCATAAGAAAAGCTCATGCAGATTTGCATCTCATCAAATAACAAATGAAAAACAAGCACATCTTTTATATGCCTTGTTCTTTCAAGCCCTGAATTTAAATTTTCAGCAACCCTTAACCTCACTCATATATTGATACACAGCCCTTCTTTTTGTATCCCTTTATACCTTCAGTGGCATTGACAATTATTGTATGTGTTTTATATGCTGTCTAAATGTATGTAAAGTTGAGAAAAGAATCTTAGAAAGGTTAGTTATGAAGTACAGTCAAACCTCTTTAATACGGACACCAAAGGGACAGAATCAAGTGTCCACTTTGCAGAGGTGTCCGTATTATAAAAGTAGGGAATATATGATTTTTGGCATTTCTGTCCATAAAAGAGAGGTGTCCATAAGAGAGGTTAGACTGTAGATAGGCAGATCTAGATCAGTACCTTAGTAGTCGAGTGCTGTCTGCATATCCACCGATTTTTTAGTTTGTTGGTTCATAGTGGCTGGGTATCTTTACAATAAATATTTTTACTTACGACTATTGTGTGCGACTAACATATGTCATGACTTTCAACCATCCACACGAGCACAATTTTCACTTACAACATCTACATGTGTCGAACAGATGTCGTGGGTTTAATTTACAAGACATGACCTGTCGTAAAGTCATGAAGTATGCTAGTCGCACATGGAAGTCATAAGCAAAAATTCTGCTGTCTAAATCGGCCTTAAACAAAGTCTTACTTTATGACCACCATAAAAGGCAATCTCCTCAGCATTTGTGATGACCCTCGAATGAAGAAATCTAAGATGTCCTCTTTTCTGTGACTCCTCTGCTACAATCTTGCCAAATTTTGGACTTAGTTTCCTTAAAATCTCGGCAGTAAGGTAAACCACCACCGCTGCTATGCTCACTGGAATTTTCCAAGAGGTTCCTCTTTTTCTTGCAAGTCCATCAAGAGTCCAGCAAATCACGAAGACATCAAGGCAGGGTTTGGTTAGATGTGAGTACAGATGAGCTACTGAACTACAAAACATGCGAATGTCTTCAGTTAGACACTCATCTGCGTTCGCTATTCTTCCATCCAAGTTCCCCACACGATAGTAAGTTTGGTTTGAGAAGTACTTCTCGTAAGCGTGGTTAGCAAGCTGTGTGCGAAAAGCCAGGGACAGTTTGCTTTCGAGATACCGAATCATACTGTTTATGAACGTTGCTGGAATCGCCACGCCGATCCAATTGACAAGTAACAAAACGAATTTAAAACCATTTTTCTGAACAACCGATTTTATGATACGGCCATCTAGAGTTGCCACGTAAATCGACAAAAATGTCCTCAGGAAAAGACAAAGCGAATGGAGAAACAACAAACCAACCTGCCTTGTCCAAAAACCTGGGAAGAGAACTTTTAAAAGTTTCCACGCTTGACAAAGGAATTCATAGTCAAGTGCTGCACTTCGCCGTTTGACCTTTGACTGTGTGTTCAATGAAGGCTCGATCAGTAACCTCGAGCTTTTTCCACTGCCTAACTTAAGTTTGTTCAAGATCCTTCGTCCGACACCTGGGCCATACTTCTTGATGATATAAAAACTGGCAACCGTCAAGGTAGCTACTCCCGTAATCTTTGCGTGTCTCGCTGTAAAAGGAGCCATTTTTACGCTGAAAATATCAACGTGGAAATATTGGTGCCACCTGTTCCAGCGGCCGCCATGTTTATTTTCATCACTGGGACCCAGGTCCTCATCGAAAAAAATTAAGGGAAAACTTTACGGGAGGGGATGGGAGGGCCAACATTTACAATAATTGTTTACAGTATTCATTGAAACGTCATTCTACGAACATGACCGGCATTAAATCTAACAACACTAATTTTCCGCTTTTCTATAAAGATTAGTCCTCTTTAAGATGAGCTCAATTTATCATCGTTTCAAGTGTATTCTTTTTAGGTGTTTCACCATACCCCTGTTTAATCAATCTCGTATCGTACGCAGATCTCTCATTGACGAAGCCGAGAGATCGAGGTACAACATCTGTTCAGCCAATGTTCCTCAAACAGAGAAAGGTAGGCTTTGATAGATTGGGCTAGTATGTGTTTTGGCATAATTCGTAATTGGGAGCATAATTTTCACCTATTTTCCGAAAAAAAGCACTGCTAGCACAATTTTCTTTTGTCTAGATTTGCAGCCAAAACTTTCTTTCTTTTTTTTTTGTTTTATCTTATAACAATTTTTTTGGCCCGAGATGAGTGTTCAAGAAGTGACCCAGGATTCTTTCATTCTCGTCCCCAGGTCCCGTCGTTAACCCAAGATGGCGTCCACGCGCAATTATTAATTGTTCGAGATTTGATACTTGTCAGACAATGAATATTTATGCAATTCTAAAGTTTCTTAAAATGAAGAAATGATCGTCGCAGTGAACGCAATTTATGCAATTGTGTAAAGAAGCCTGAAAAATTCAGGACTTCAACGGGGTTTGAACCCGTGACCTCGCGATACCGGTGCGATGCTCTACCAACTGAGCTATGAGGCCACTGACGTTGGGAGCAGGTCAATTGTGGGTTCATATGTTCCCGTGAAAGAAATGAGTGTTAATGATATATGAAATAAATTATATATGAACTGCGGAAATGAAATGAAAATGAAGAAATGATCGTCGCAGAGAACGCAATTTATGCAAGTGCGTAAAGAAGCCTGAAAAAAAATTCAGGACTTCACTGCGACGATCATTTCTTCATTTTCAGTTCATTTCTGCAGTTCCTATATGATTTATTTCATATATCATTAACACTCTAAAGTTTCTAGATGTAAATAGGGATAATGGGTTTACCATTTACTTGTTTGTTGCCTTGTTATTGAGTTGCTTTTTACCAAATTTAAAGTAAAAAATAAAAGCATAATTTCTTAATTTAGTGCTAAAATGGTCTAAAATGAGCATAATTTACAAAAACTAGCATAATTATTGCTGGTTTTCATTGTCACCCCATTCAGAATGGATCAAAATAAAAATCAAAACAGTGCAATAGATAAAGTCCAGAATCTGGGAAATGAAAAGAGGTACATATACAAAGACCCTCGCCAAGATTCGGGTCAGAGGAATATTTCGTATACGAGATATCCAAAGAAACGTTTTACCAAGCTTATAGAGATTTGTTCGGAGACGCAATGCTCACCTGGATGAGCTCCAACATGGCGGACGGAAACCAACAGAAACATCTGTTACCGAGTTTTGCTATAAAAGCGGGCAGGGGATATTTTGGAGATTTGAGAGGGGGGTTGTGTAAGGCTATTTTCGAATCTCGTGATCCGCGGTACCAAGAAAAGTAAACATAGTTTCAACCTAGCCTTCCTTGACTCTCGTTAATGCTCAAGTTAGGTTTCTGGGGTGCTTATTTAATTTTTGGAGTGCGAACCAGAGCTAGGCGTCAATTCACTGAGGGAAAAATGATGCTAGCGGATGATAGTAGTAGGGGGAAAATCAATTCCCATTCTAGGGCTACTCTCCTTTTATCATCCATGTGAAATACTTGTACATACACCATTGAAAAAAGATAAGAATGTGATTAAAATATAAGATAAAGTTGTCCATGAGGTAACAAAAAGAAAACAATGAGAAATAAAAAAATAAATGAAAAGTAAAATGAAATTAACGAAAACAAAATACATAGGGGGTATGAATTATTAGAAATGGGACGCTTATTTGATACTTTTTGCAGAAGGGGAAGAGGTGGGTGGTTCTAAGTCGATCAGTATTAACTGTAGGAAGGTCGGAAAGGGCTCTATCCTTTCTCAGCGGAGCCGGGATACGATGACCCCTACTGACTATGCCGGCTTCCACACCCCTGTTTTTCTTCAGAAGGATGCTTCCCCGCCAGGGATTTCAGTGATAGTTGTGACTTCACCCTACGCTCTACACCTAACAAACATTTTATTTTCAATATCTACGTTTCATGAATAAGAAACAGCACTTCCACAATCTATCTATTTTAACTAATTCAGTTAACTCCATCTTGCCCTAGGTTCGTCAATACTTATTGGGCTAACCCAGGCCGAAACTCAGGCTACAAAGATTTCTTATGAAACATTGTAGCTTGCTAGGCATTTAAGCACAAATATTTGAAAGCTCACGTAAAACAATTGGCAGTAGAATAACATCACAAATTGTAGACGGAAACTTACAGTCCGAGTTAACAAAAAAATAATAAATAAGAGCAATTGTTGTAGCCAGCATCGTTTAATTAAAGATCGGGTTACATTATAACGGTCTATAATAGGAAACCAGGCTGTTTAATATTACGTTACGACAATTCAGTTCACTCAATATTTGGGAATCTATAACTAACAAATAAAATCAGCAACAAAACTTAATAGAAATCTTTGTCAGCTAAAGTTTCTTGATTGTATTTGCTTTCAGCGGACGGTGATCTGTCCCATGTGACGTCGGTTGGAGAAGTTGTTATTACGCGTGCTCATGTAACAGTACTCCCCAGGCTTCTTGATGCGGAAGCACGGTGGATTACAGGAGGCCGGCGCGTTGTTCAGTTGAGCTTGCAGATTTTTAGCATCACCGGTGTAACACCCTGTGTTGAGGTGAAGGTTCAACTTACCGGCGTTGAATTCGTTCACATTATCAACAACTTCAAGAGGCAAGCTGGAACAGGCTTTAGGCTTGAGCGAGCTGCATCCTTCCTTTACCCAACACACGTTTGTTCTGTCCGACCCTAAAAGATATTGTACAAAAAAAAATTGGAAATAGACAGTCGAACAGTGCATCCGTCTGCTAAATATATAAAGCAAGAGACCAATTAATTCTCCTACTGGTGTAAAGGAAACTAATACAGTCTTGGATTCTGGTTCCACGCCATGGATTCCGGATTCCGGATTCCGGTAGTGAATTCCGCATTTCGGATTCCTGATTCCAATCGTTAGTGGGATTTCAAATTCCTTGAGCTGCATTTCGGATTCTAAAATCCGGGATTCCAGATTCCACAACTCAAATTTCGCGAATTCTACAAGGAAAAATTTCCCGGATTCCCTCACAAGAAATATAAAGACGCTAGATGTCGTCCTTACGTGCTTGTCCTTCCCCATCATTGTTTGGATTGTTATTAGATCCTGCAGAGAGAAATTCAAGAAAAGAAAGTCAAGAACAGCGTTGACCAATTTATAATAACGCCCTCTTTCCTCCACGTGTCACTCTCCTCTTAGGGGCGATTTTCACACGCGCTCGCTGATTCCACTCAGGATCTTTACAAATTCAAACGAATTCAAACGAGAACATAAGAAAGTATTGGGTTTGTCAAGCAAAACAACAACTTTGCACATCACACTTTTTTTGTACATTTCCTTGCCTTCATTGCACGACTACGACGTGAAAATGCCTAATTTCACGCTTTATGGAGCTGAGCAATGTAAGCAAACGACGACTACTTTTTCTTTCTCTTTCTAAACTTAAGTGGGGTCCCCCAAATAAATTAACTTAAGGGAAATTTGCCTACATTTGACATTTTCGGCGAATTGGGATAAACGTGGCAATGTGTGAAAAAAAGCGAATACCAGTTTTAAAAGTGACGTTTTAGCTGCTGTAACCGTCGCCAAAGCTAAAACTCCTTAGAGGTCGGAGGAAAATGAGGGACTACTCAGGCATGTAGCAGCTCTCCTAACCCTAATAGCCAATTGGTTCGATACTCTAACCGTGAAACAATGGGAAATAATGATAATCAATGATGTGCTATTGTTTTCTGCGACCAATGAGGACACACCTTACGAGCAGCTCCTACATTGCTGACTACTCGTAGTCTATACGCAGGCCCAATCTACGTCACGTGCATGTTTCAAGGAGACAAACTCACCAGACCAAGCAAAGCACAACACATCTCTGGTGGAAACAGTCAAACGCTCAGGGACGAAGCGATACTCCATGGCGGGATAGGTTTGAACAATATTACCTCTCTTTCCCATTCCTCCGATGTAAACTACCCTGGCATTTTTGATACTCGCGGGTCGTGGCTTCAAGTAAAACACATGTGTTCTGTCCTGGAAAGTACGAGCGAGTTGAGCGGTGTTCAAGGCTAACTGAAGCTTCGTTGTTCCATCCACAGCAAGGGTTGTAGGGTCATTCTTAACTCTAGAAGCAAATTGGAACAATTTTAGCGATATCTATTGAAGAGTTATGGTACTGGAATATAAATTATAAAAACAGATTTGGCAAAAGGAGGGAATCAGATAAAGCAAACTTGAAGTAAACTGGAAGAAAAGCAAAAGCTGGGGACGGTGTAACCTGCGATCGGGCGGTCCTTCTTCCCCTTCGTTTTAGCCAGGGCCGCCTGACCGTCTAAATCCTTATCGAGTTCTTTATAGGTCTTGAGTACGGCTACAACTCAGGCTATTTTGTTAGGTTAAAAACGCCTGATTGCAGGGACGGTGAAAGTATTACATGCAGCGGGAGCCATTGGAGGGATGAATTGGCTTTCACCCAAACTTTACAAAATCGATATGAGGCACATGGTCTAACGTCAGAGCAACTAAAAAGCTAAGAAGCATGGGTTTTGTTTGTTTGTTTGCCTATTTTTTTTTTCTATTCTGTCAGCAGCCAAATTTAACCTCTTGCGGGAAACTTTTACTAAACATCATCCCCAGAATAAGACTAAGTGAAAGCTTCCTAAAGTGTAAACAACAAAAACGGCACATAGTGTATCGATTAGACTGTTCACAGTCTAGCTCAGATGACTATCGTCTCACTTAGTGACTGGACGGGGGACGGCGGTCATGGGAGGAGGAGGGAAAGCTTATAATCGTTTGGAAAAATGGAAGATAGGTTGGCTAACATAAAACGAATTTCTTTATTTAATGGATGATCGATACTGTAAATAGCTGTAAATAGCAGATTCATACACTCAGGCTCCCTCCCCCCCCCTCCCCCTTCTCGATTAGCGATACCTCAGATAATAGCCAACTCAAAAAGGATCCAAACGGAATACCTTTTCGGGCTTCAGGTATATAAAAATGGTAGGGATTTTAGGAGGTAATAATATTATCATAATGAAAGATGTAAAAATACTTGAAACAGATGCACTTTGAATGGGTACTGTTTCACAATATAGTTCATTAACTCCTTTTAATCTTTTGGAATACGTATGTGGTGTTCGTAAGTAGGTATGTGAAAGGGGTATTTTTGTCCTGTCAAAATTGTAAAATAATACTGTAAGGGGGTAATAAGGGGTAGTCCTTAGGTTGGACCCTCTCCGTTTGTAAAACTCGATTAAGAATTAAACACCATCTCCCTTCTCTACCCGGCTCGGGAGGTGCAATGCCACTTACTTATCGTTATCAGCCGTAGTAAAAGACCTTGGTGCATCATCAGTAGTAATGTTGTACCTGCCAATATACACAGACATGGAATATAAGAATAAACTCACATTATATTTCTGATAATCTAAACGGTGGTTTATAGAATTTATAAAATATGGGAAAAAAACAAAATCATCTTTATTTCTAAGGAGTGTCGACAGCGAGTTAAGAACTCAAAGAACTGTAGTTCCCTGGTCCATACTCTCATTCACCATGGCTCTCGGCCAATAAACACGCAAGAAATTGCTTAGTTATTGTAAAAAAGCTTAGTCGGTCGACGTCTCACCTTATCCTCAAGACACAGCGCTGAATGGTTTGGGACGGAAAGTGCGGAACTTTCCATTTATACGAAGAAAACTTTCCTTCCATATTCAGTCCATTATGGTTGACAACAGTGGATGGGGCGTAGACTACTTGCGTTTCGTCCGCCCTAACGAGAACTTGCTCTTGATTATCCGAGCCTTGGGTTATTTTGTGGGCTTCGTAAGGTACACCATTAATTCTCTTGACGCTGGCGCATAAATCTGCGTTGTCGGACAGCCTTTCTTTGTAGTTTGTCAGAACTTTGGTCCACTTTCCTCCTCCGTTCACACACGATTCTCTAGATATGTAGCTGGCGACACAGTATTCGCTGTTTCTGTTGCGAGGTGGGATTCTTGGGCAGGACGATTGCTTTTGGAGACCATTCTTCATGATACACAGCCCTACAAGAAAACCGATTTGAATTAGGTCCACCATGTCGTGATAATGAGTTCTAATTGATTGTAATTAATTAATTCATTAAACTGAATGATTTACTTAATAGACCTATTTAGCTTGTATTTTTTGTTTTCCCAAGTCAGACCACGAGATTTTCTCAATGAAATTTTCCTTTTTTCATAAGTTATGCATACATAATTATGCACGTGGATTCACGTGCATAGGACGACATTTGAAAGAAACGGTTCTCTAAAATACCATCATGTGGTCTAAAATGTGAAAACAAAACAAACAAGCTCAAAAGGTCTATTAATTAATTTATTATAACGATTAAAAGAAGAAATAAGCACACTTGAAATAATAGAGCTTTAAATTCTGAGACGAGGACGACTACGAGTACGAGATTTTCTCAATACTGAGTATTGCTCAAGCGCGAACCAGCGTCATTTTGGAAAACGTAATATGGCCGTCGTAAGTCTACTCCGAGTTTTAGCGCGAATGTCGTAGTGGCGTGAAAATGGATAATAGAAAGACTGGATGGGAAACTGGCTGACATGATCGGTTCCAACATAGTGGAAAAATGTGACGTCACATCCATGGGCGTGAACAAGTTATCAAATGTAAGAGGTTTTATCATTTTGCCATCGGGAGAGGGCTTAACTCCTTCAGTACAAATAACCGTAGTTACTTTTTTGGTGAAAAAAAAAAAAAAAAAATGAAGCTTTCCAGGGTGTCTTGTTTTTAGAACACGCGCAATAGCTTTAAGTCAAATCTCGTACTGGTACTCGACGTTCTCGTCCTTAAATCTAAAGCTCCCTAATTGAGACAGTGCTCAACAATGATAAGTGTTGTTCCGACAGTTTTTCTTATAGTCAGATGCAATTGCACAATTTTTAAGTGGTAGTAACTTACATTTCTCGTAAAAGTCCCGACTGTTTACGTATTCTTTCATCAACTTCTGTGTTTCTTTGTTACTAACCATGATGGCAATGTCGTTCCACGGGGTAGGGCCCCAGTAGGGATAGTAATCACGCTCCTCAGGTACCTCCAGGCCCCTTCTGTTTCCATTAGCATTCTGTCGTGTGTACTGTGCAGTAGTGCCTTTAAGTTTTTGGTCAGCAGTGAATAAGCCTGGAAATTAGTGAGGAGTAACGTCGTTTGAAAAAAATGTTTTTTGTCTTGCCATTGTTTGTGGGGTGTAAGCAGCCTTGTTCTCAGGGTTCTGTCCTACTGGTAGGGACGAGTAAGAGAGAGCCCTGGGAAAGACATTGGGATGTAAGGGGACTTGCGTTTATCTTACGACTATGAGATTGACTACAAGATAGTTCTTAATCTGGTTTTCAGGTATCATCCTGTTTAAGAACTTGTAAATCCACCAGTCTCTATATAACGAACTGTTATACAATGATACAATAAGAGGAGCGAGGGTCCTTGAGACAAAACTGGCTTGAGACCCAAAGTAGCTACTCGATATCTTGGTCTCCCTGAAAATCCTTATTGACAGATAGATGATGACCAAGACTAGTAATGATGATGATGATGATGATGAATCTGAACATGACAAAGACTGTGATGACGATGATGACAGTAATGATACCGATGACAACGATGATGATATAATGATTAGGGGTTTCTGGATAATGATGATGATGATTAATGATAACGAGGAAGATTATGAAGATTAATGATGATGATGATGATGATGATGATGATGATGACGATGATGATGATGATGATGATGATGATGACAAATACACTCGATTCAACTTTTCCCCGCAGGGTACTAAACCGTTTTCGCTTCGACTAATTATCTCAAATTTCTGTTATCCTTTCTTGCTTTCTGGCTCCGATTGTTCAAAGATGGATATTTAACAATTATTCCTCGAGCCCGAATGGGCTCTGAGTCAATAGCCCATGAGTCCGAAGGCCGAATGGGCTATTGACTCAGAGGCCATGAGGGCCAGGGGAATAATTGTTTTAGTAAAATCCAACTAGTTGGAAAAAAATATCGAGAATAAAAAGTTAAAGCTAGACTTTAATCCTTTTTTGCCGCCAAAAAGCCCTCGCTTTTCTCTACTAGTGGGCTATAACATATAGCCTAGTAGTAGCTCAACCAACCTCAACGCAGCATTGAAAATAGACCACTAGTTGGATTTTACTAAATATCGATAGCGCAATCCACTTAATAAATCTCTATTCACTGGATTGTGCAATAGACCTTATTCACAATACCTGCCATCTTTGCACGCGCTTTAGGACTGAGGGGAAAAAGCGATGTCTCTTGGTTTCTTAAGGGGCAAGCAAGTGATGAAATTTGCCATCGCAAGAAATCGGGGTCGAGCATGTTTGCATGAAGAACTTTTTATGTTAAAGACGATAATTAATTATGGGTTGAAANTGAGTCAATAGCCCATGAGTCCGAAGGCCGAATGGGCTATTGACTCAGAGGCCATGAGGGCCAGGGGAATAATTGTTTTAGTAAAATCCAACTAGTTGGAAAAAAATATCGAGAATAAAAAGTTAAAGCTAGACTTTAATCCTTTTTTGCCGCCAAAAAGCCCTCGCTTTTCTCTACTAGTGGGCTATAACATATAGCCTAGTAGTAGCTCAACCAACCTCAACGCAGCATTGAAAATAGACCACTAGTTGGATTTTACTAAATATCGATAGCGCAATCCACTTAATAAATCTCTATTCACTGGATTGTGCAATAGACCTTATTCACAATACCTGCCATCTTTGCACGCGCTTTAGGACTGAGGGGAAAAAGCGATGTCTCTTGGTTTCTTAAGGGGCAAGCAAGTGATGAAATTTGCCATCGCAAGAAATCGGGGTCGAGCATGTTTGCATGAAGAACTTTTTATGTTAAAGACGATAATTAATTATGGGTTGAAATTAGTATATTTAATTTTCTTATTGGATGCAATAGCAACCGTAGATTTCCTCACAGCGACAAATAATAACATAAAACCTGTCGAAGCTCGAATTTCACATTTTGGAGGACACCTCATCATCACAAACTGTTAATGCTTTGTTCCAGGGGAAAGAAGCCCTTACATTTTTTCTAAATGAAACCACTTAATACAGACACTCTGTTAATACAAACAATTTCTATGGCCCCAACAGTGTCCGTGTTAAAGGGACAGGTTCACGGTTAAGCGCATGCTCATTAATTAAACTACTTTTTTCCCATTTTTTTATTAATTCTATCGGTTAATAATTCCACTCATATGTATCTCAGCGATCTCAGAGTGTATTTCTGAGTAGAAGTGTATTTCAGAGTAACCTGAAGTAGGATGGAGGAGTACTAAAATCGCAGAAATTTGGATTATGCCAATACTACCAACGTTGAATTTATTGTTGACCCAAAGGTTTTATTCCATGGTTGATTAATTTACAGTAATTTGCACATAAGTTGATCAAGTGACTGCCAGGGGAGTGTGCAGATTGGCTCTTTGACATCATGATGACATGATCATATTGCTTGCATAGACGATACCGCATGTCGCGGCAGAAAAACAAATAATAAATGAGCATGCCCTGAACCGTGAACCTGTCCCTTTAACTGGGTTTGACTTCAGTCAGTTAAATATTATATGCCCAGGGGTATACGAATAGCAGATAGATTAATGATACTACATTCTTAGTTATAGAGAAAATTAAAGATGAGAGAGAAAGCGTTCATCTTGTCCTCTGACCTTCAGTAAATTTTAACTCAATGGAAAAAGACGTTTCCGTTGTCCCAGCCCTTTCTCTCATACATTCTCTCGTCGTTTACAGCCTTGTAAGATGTTTACGCTCAATTTGGATTTGATTTTGACAAGAATAGAAATGACATGAAACAACTTGCGAAATTGTTAAGTCTTTCTTACCCTTGTTCCGCTCCCTGCGAACATAAGCGTTGTAATACTCCTTGGGTTCATGAAGTCCGCGGTCCTTTCTGATTTGTTGGTCTTCTCTTAGATCCTTTCTAAAAGTTTGTGTGTTACGGTTTCCTCCGTTACGTATAGTATGCAGCTGGAAGTCTTTATTGATGTCTTTAACCTCCATCTTACCAGGGAGGTATGCCTGGCACATGTACTGTAAGATAACCTGTGTCTCTACTCGGTCATCCGTTTTGGGTCCTGTTCCGTGTTGGTTGGTCCACATGATCTCCACCTCAGTCGGAGCATTCTTGTCACAGCCACTCATATAAAATTCCTTTGAAACACAAAAGGAAAGTTTAAATGTTCGTCAGTTTGTATCATTCTCATTCTCATTCTCATTATTATAGCCAGATTTATTTGGAAGCAGCATCGCCGAGCAGTTAAAGAGTGCTTGATTTGTAAACCGGAAGCCTCGAGTCCAAGTCCTACTCTGACCACTGGTTTGATTTGTCCTTGGTAGTGTCCCGAGTTCAAGTCCAAAATCACGCTAACTGTTAAAGGGACAGTGTGCCGATTATGCGCACGCGCGAGTGTCATCTGTTTTTTCCTCTTTTCTGTATCTCTCTCACAATTATCTGAGCTTGTATGGAAGCTAGCAGAAGAAATAAGCCTTCAATCGGCATCAAAGTGCTTCCAATCTTTTGGTCCTCCGGCCAACGGCAATAAAAAAACGCCAAAAAATCCAGCTTTTGCCCAAATAGAAACTTAACAGGAACAATATATCATTGATCTGTAATCCTGAGATGTTTTAGTGTCGTATTGAACCCGGCCAAGCGCGATGCAAACGGATTTTTTAAGGTTCTCTTACTCTCCTCGTATCTTTTGATTTCGCGACATCCTGTCCAAAAATCAAAGTTTGGTGCATGCGCAGAAACGGGATACTGTTCCTTTGATAGCCAACAGGTTCGCCTCCTACCAGCTGGAATTCCGAAGTTTGTTGATAGTCCATTAGAATTAATAAGGGGATAGAATAATCAAGTTTTCACATGGTAGGACATCTGTTACACCACCAGATTTAAACTTGTTTTGTTATTTAATCGTTAGAATTGAATTAAATCTCTTACCAGGGGTCGTTGTCGCTTTTCTTGAATATTTTCGCCAGGATTGTTGCTTCCACTATCTCCCACGTTGTAACCGGCTTTACCGTTGTTCTGTGAAATCAGCAGCAGCCAACACATACAGGAATTAAAGAATAGTGACAGTCAAAATTAATCGCGCCATTTTGACTATCTTTTCCTTCACCCTTCCGCGCTTTAATAGCAGAGTGTAATAAGGTTTTCGCCTACAAACTGTTACGTAACTGTTTCTACCGGTGCCCTTCAGTTAGCATAAATACAAAGGTAAAAATTGGAGCAACTCAAGTCGTTAAAGTCTCATTTTTTTCGCGGGGCGGGGGGTTGGGGGTGGAGTCGTCGGATCTTAAGGTCCCTACTGTGCTGGTAAAGTTCCTGTTTGTCCCTCCTTTTAAGCCAGAGTGGAACCCGTGCATATCATTCAGGGGCACCCAACGGCAATTTTCGGGAAAATATCTGTTCGGAAGACGATTTGAGAACTAGAATTTTCGGAACATTTGTTGTAAAATTTCTTGCTTGCCTGCCTCTCTTAGGATTTTCGAACATCTACAAAATGGTATAATTACCCATTTTCAACGGATATTTACCCTAAAAAAGGCCACCTAGAATTTTCGGGAGCCTTTTCCTGGCTGAAATTTTCGAAAAGGTAAGTTTTGATCCCTATAATTTTCGGATCACTAGACTTTCAGCTAGGAAATCCGAACAGATGAAAAGTTTTTAGGGGATAAAAATATGCCTATATCTACCGTTTAAATACTAAAATACGTTCAACAATGCTATGTTAAGTGGTTTTGAACTATATCCTCGTTGGGTGCCCCTGATCATTCAAAAGTTCAAGCGAAGGTTGCATGCTCCTAAGCAATTCAAACGTTGTGGTTCCTGACATTGTTATTAAGCGTTACCACAATGCAATAGGGACTTTACGATCCGACGACGCGATGGCAACGAAAACGTCGCGTAAAAAGTGAATTTTCGTTCTTCCAGTCTTTATCGCTATCATTCCTACCCATGAATTTATCAATAATTTCATTGTAGGTGATCCCTAGCATACCTATCCAAGTTCAGAAAGAGAAATATAGTTTCATCGTTGTTTGTTTGCGTATCTATAAAATGTGAAACTAGGCAATTTCACGTCATAATCGTGCAATAGGGGCAAAGAAATGTATAAAAAAGTGTGATGCAGATTAGAATTGCCTTCTAATCCTATTATTTTTTGACGTTTTCGTTTCCATTACGTCGTCGGATCGCCGGATAAGTCCCTAATAGAAAAATTCACGATGAATTTTTTTTTGTCACCTAGTATTGATATTGATGTGCTAACCAGAAGCGCACGTTGGTTCTTGAAACGATATATTCCTTTGTTTCACTCGTTACAACAACAGCAATGCTTGTAAACAGTGATGTCTGCTATATCCCTGATGCTACGCAGGGGAAATCGACTCAATCGAGCATTGTGACCACCGACAAGCAAAGGAGGCTGGTGTACTCTACGTACCTGGGAGTCATAAAGTCTGTTTGCGTTCCTCACGTTGGCTTGGTTACCGTTCAGTCGATTGTTTGATCCTGGTATAAAATGAAGGTAGATGGCGGCCAAGCAGAAGTGAGAAAATGCAAAAACCAAGAATCCCAGCTTAAGCATTGTCTTTAAAATCACGGCGTTTTCTGTAAAAAAAAAAAAAAAAAAAAATCAACAAACAGTATTTTTACAAACGTCCCGCTTCAGGGAGCGTGAATCTCACATCCGATTTTTTGTCCTTTTCTTGTTTTAGTAAAGAGAATAATACAACGCTATATCACGATGTATCATCAAGTTTAGTGAAATTTCTGAATAATAATAATAACAATAATGTAGGTTGAGTTTGATCGTCCGGGTGAACGTAGTCCTGAATAGGACTGTTGATGTTGACAGTGACTGACGTTTCGACAACATGTGTGGTAGTCATCTTCAGAGTCAAAGTGAGTTGTATCACGTCAGTTGATGGTATTATACTCGGGACGATCAAACTCAACCTACTTTTGAAATGACTCCTGGGTTCAAACCATTCACAATAATAATAATAATAATAATAATAATAATAA